TATATTGTTGATAAACAATATAAAAACAGACGTCACATAGGGCTAAATGCGTAGCATTTTTACGGCAGCGGGGAATATGAACGCGCATTAATTATTTTATTTAGTCTGTGTTATTTTAATGTTTCGGTTTAACCTATGTTAAAATGTTTTTTTTTTAAACCTAAAATAGAGACACAGATGTTGATGTGTCTTCATTCAAGCATTTCAGTGGGCTTAAACAGATCACCCTTTACAGCAGATTTAGTTCACAAACAACTGACAGTTTTGACCTAAATATGATTTTCAGTTACAATAATTCATCCTAAAACTCGACATTAGTAACTTACTTTTAACAGCATCAGACGCGCGCACGCTCACAAGATCTCCCGGTTCTTACTTGTGACTTCAGTTCACTGGAGACTCGCACTAAACGGTTCATTTGAATCAGTGAGTTGTCGACTCGAGAACAGCTGCAATCGGATCATTCCAATTCGTGAATGAATTGTTTGGTGCGATTTGCGAACAGATTTAACGGGTTCATTGAAAAGAATCAGTTCGTTCATGAATTTTCTGAACCTGAAGCTTCTGCGTCTCGGAGCACGTGATATATTATAAGGAGTAATGAGAAGTTTTATGAAATGTAGTGAAGTAAAAGTTACTCAAAATAAATCTACTCCAGTAAAGTACAGATACTTGAAAAATGTACTTAAGTACAGTAACGAAGTAAAGCTACTCCGTTACTGTCCACCACTAGTGCTCGCTCACGTCACAGAGCTTGGCTTCAGAGTGAATGTGAGCAAGAGCAATTTCACTCCTGCCCAGAAGGTGATATTTCTAGGTCTGGAGCTGAATTCCATTATGATGCGCGCGCACTTGTCGCAAGAGCCCATCCTCTCTTTCATGAATTGCCTCTCACAGTTCAGGGAAGGAGCGAGGGTACAGTATCGCACGTGTCTCAGATTACAGGGTCATATGGCTTCGGCTGTCCATGTCCTGCCTCTGGACCTTCTGAGAATGAGGGCGTTCATGAAGTGGGTTTTATCTCTTCATCTCAGCCCCTTACGCAATCTTTGCCGCTCTGTCACAGTGTATGGCAGCGCTGCAGCACTGGAGGAGGGCGGAGTTTTACACTCAGGGGACCCGGGGCCATCAAGTTGTGGAAAGTGGTAACGACAGACGTGTCCTTAAAGGGATAGTTCACCCAAAAATGACAATTTGATGTTTATCTGCTTACTCCCAGGGCATCCAAGATGTAGGTGACTGTTTCTTCAGTAGAACACAAACGAAGATTTTTAACTCAAACCATTGCAGTCTGTCAGTCTTATAATGGAAGTGAATGGGAATCACGGCTTTGAGAGTAATAAAAAACATACGCAAACAAAACCAAATTAAACCCTGCGGCTCGTGACGATACATTGATGTGTAAAGACACGAAACGATCGGTCTGTGCAAGAAACTGAACAGTATTTATATCGTTTTTTTACCTCTGATGCACTGCAATGTCTGAACTGTCTGAACTGTGAACCATCCACACCCAGACAGGGTAGCTCTCTGGGCCTGGCCCGTGACAGGGCAAATTTAAACACATTGGGGCTCCCCCCTCGTGTTGTTGCTACAATTCAGAATGCTAGAGCCTCCGCTACACACTCCCTTTATGATTGCAAGTGGTGTGTGTTTGAGGAGTGGTGCAAGGGGCGTCAGCTGTTATCATATCAGTGCTCAGTTGTTGACATTTTGGGTTTTTTGCAAGACCTTATCGATGCTGGTAAATCTTTCTCCACTATTAAAGTCTACTTAGCGGCTATCGCTGCATGTCATGTTGGGTTTGATGGCACTACGGTGGGGCAACACCCCCTTATTCGTAGATTTATGAAGGGCGCCCGCCGTTCTCTTCCAGTCACTAGAAGAGCAGTTCCAGGTTGGGACCTCTCCATGGTGCTGGAGGCTTTGTCTCAACAGCCGTTTGAGCCACTGGGAACTATTCCCCTGAAGCTTCTGTCTTTCAAGGCAGCTCTGCTCCTGGCCTTGGCATCAGCCAAGCATGTCAGTGATTTGCACGCACTCTCTGTTCATCCCTCGTGCACTAATTTCTCTCTCAGTGGAGATAAGATTTTTCTCAGGCCTATCCCGGCCTTTATGCCTAAATGCTTCCCAGCTTTCACGTGTGAGGTGCTTGAGCTTTCAGCTTTTCACCCTCCTCCATTCTCCTCTGCGGAGGATCAGAGGCTGAATGCTTTGTGTCCTGTTCTTGCCCTGCGGGTTTACATTGACAGGACCAGCCCTTTCAGGAGGAGTGATCAGCTCTTCATTTCTTGGGCCCCCCAGAACACGGGGAATCCTATTTCTAAGCAACACCTTTCTCATTGGCTTGTGGAAGCCATCTCATTGGCATATGAATCTAAGGGAGTGCAGCCTCCAGAGGGCCTAAAAGCACATTCCATTAGGGGTATGGCGGTCTCCTGGGCTCTATTTAAAGGGGTTTCCTTGCAGGACATTTGTGCCGCTGCAAGCTGGGCCTCTCCACATACGTTTGTCAGATACTACCGGCTTGATGTTACCCACACCCTGGTAGCTCACTCTGTTTTAGGTGTGGGCTCTTCATAGCCTAGTGCCTTTAGACCTGCTACACCTTTTAAGCTCGGGTTGACCATCCTGGCTTTTTCATGTCATTAAGCAGGTCATTTGTATGACACCATATTTGACACCCTGACACCATATTTTATATTTATTTATATGTATATATATATGTCATTGTATATATATATATATATATCTTTATATATGCTTTCAGCATTATGTGTGTTGTCAGGTTTTGTATGCATGTTACTGCATGTCATGCTTTTATGGCTAGTATTGCATGCTCACTTTGTGAGGGGTCAGATACTTGGTGACGTGTCAAGCACAGCCTTCCAGGTGACCATCCTCTGGCTTACAGGGCCTCGCTGTGAGTGTACTGGGCAACCGGGGAGCTGGCCATATCTCCCATAGGTGGATCTCAAACACGAGATGATGAAAGAGAACAATAGGTTACTGTTCGTAACCCCGGTTCTCTGAAACATCGAGTGGAGAGATCCATCAAGTTTGCGCTGCTTGCTGCACAAGAAGCGAATATGCCCACTGAGGAAAGGTAGCGTGTGCAGGGACTTTATGCGCTTGGTGAAGGGGTGGTCCCTTACCTGCCATTGGGCACACGCTCCTGTCTGTCAAGCCAGACTTGGTGCAATTGGATGCTTCTGCAGAGGTCAGGTATGGATGCCCTTCCCATAGGTGGATCTCTCCACTCGATGTTTCAGAGAACCGGGGTTATGAACAGTAACCTATTGTTTTGCTTTGTTTCACAGAACTAATCGTTGCCTGGGTTACGTACGTATGTGTGGGGCGGAGCTATCAAAATAGGAGCGAGACCCTTTTGGGGTAGGGGCGTGTTTGTTTTGGTGATTTGAAATATCAACATTGGCTACCAGAAATCACTTACCCCACCTTTAACTTTTAAATGCATCATTATGCAAAAAAATTATGAGCAGAGTTCTCTGCATAAAGACCCACGGCTGGCAGATCAACGTGCTACTTGATTTCTCTCCAATACGGAAGGAAGTTAAATTAAATGAAATGTGGAGGATGTTAACTGTGACAAGATGATTGACAGGCCAGTTTACAGTGACAGGATGCGTGTAATTATGCGACAGAGTGGTCCGTTAAAGACGCAATTGTATGACGTATAGTATGTCCCAAAGCTTGCCTACTCTTTTACTGCACACTCAAAAGTGTGTACTTTTTCTTCACCAAAAGAGTACACAGGCGTACTTTAAGGTCGTAGTATAATGGTGCTTTTCCACTGCATGGTACGGCACAGTATGGCTCGGTACGGTTCACTTTTTGGGGACACAAACACAACAGAACCGCTAGATTTAAATCAGTACAGCCAGCGAAGGATCGAGCGCAATTGTTTTGAACAAGCTCACCTTTTTTTTAACAACCAAAAAGTTTTGTTGTCTGTTGTGGAAGAACAGACGTTCCTCTCGTTGATAGCAGAGGAGCGGATCCAGCGAGAGTTTGATAGGGCGAGTTTTTTTTAGGAGTCATGGTAGTAGAGGCGGCGCAACTATAACAACCATACAGTCTATGACGCAAACCATGCGGAGCCGAACCGTGCCGTGCCGTACTGAGCCGTGCCGTGCCGAGTCGTACCACGCAGTGGAAAAGCGCCATAAGTAGGCACACTGGGATGCAGCACAGGCCAGGGGCCCATTCTTCGTACGTCGCTATCTCCGTTAGCTGGATTTGATTGTTGACGATTTGGCATGATCTTGGATTATTTGGTTCTTCGAAGCTCATCCTGGACTTGCTGTCATAGCAACAGGCCCATAAGCTTAAACTTGCTCGGGAGGTCATGTAAACAGGATTAGATTGCATCTTTTTAAGTGGAATTGATATTTAAAATCTATCCCAGCCACTGCTACTTTATTACAAGAGCACCCTACTAATCCGGGGACAATCATTTAAAATTATAATAATTTAAAAATTAATTTGAAAATAATAGTATAATGTTGTGTAATCTATAATACTATAGACACAGCCAGTTTTACTCATTGAAATATTTATTTGTGATAAAATAATTACTTTATAATTGTATTGGAGTCTTACACACATGCTATACAGTTAATCTGAGTCTTGCATTCATTTGAGTGCTGACAGTTATTATGGGAGTGGCTTGATGGAGCACAAGAGATGCAGATAACTTGATCTTGACCCTTAAGAAACTTTAATTAATGCTGCCACATAACAAATCTGCTTCAAAGATAAAATTACATGAATTGCTAATTACAACATTGAAATAAAAATGCAAAGTCTCTACAAATACTAGAAATCGTGAATATAAAAATTGAGAATCATGTAAAAGATAAAAAATAAAATAAAAACAGTGCACATTTCATTTATCTATTATAACATTTTTGTAGTTTTGTTCACTTGGCTGTTTACTTATAAAGGTCTAGAAATTTGTCAAGTTTTTCGTCAGGTGTCTATTTTAATATGATGTCATTACGTTGCTGTCTTGCCGCCAGCCAATCGCTGCATTGCTGATCGTGGTTTCGAGTATCGATACATCTGCCCTTTACGGGGAACACGAGAACGCGCAGTTATCTTAGACAACTTAATCCAGATATTTTAATCAAATCCGCAAATTCGTTTGAAGAACCAAATTAGCCAGAGATCAGTTATCACGATCAGAAGATCTGGCATCTTTCAAATAATTTCAGATGTGTTAAGCGAGGTACGAAGCGAGGTACACCCTGGGGTGCTTCTCAGTATCCTCCCTCATTTCCTCGTTCCCAAAGAACTTATATTGGCTGCATCTGAAAGCTCTAAAATGCTGCCTTCAGAGGCAGCATTCCAAGGCAGGAAGGCATCAAGGCATGTTCGAATCCAAATTCTTCTTTACTTCCTGTCTCCAGTGGTACCTTGCTTCTGATCGAATTTTGAAGGCAACATAGATGTATCCTTCGCTGCCTTTGATATCCCACAATCCTGTGCATTCCATTCCGTGACGGTTGAGCTAAAAAATAAAGATGGCATCTGAAAGTTGCGTTTCGTGGTCAGTTTGTGTGTAAATGTATATTTCTGACTAACTTTTTGCACTTTCGATGTTAAATATTTGTTTAATTATCACCAAAATTCGTTCTATATTGTTGTAGATCATTAAACTGTTACGCTGCCTCAGAAGCCTGTCCGAAATCAGTTTCATGAGGTGCCTTCATGCAAAAACGCTGCCTGTAAAGTCATTGTCTCATACGGCAGCGAGGCAGCAAGTCAGCTGCCTAAGTTTTCGGATGCAGCCATTGACTTTTTGTCATGGATAAAAGGGTCATATGATGTTGCTAAAAAGAACATTATTTTGTGTATTTGGTGTAATGAAATGTGTTTATGCGGTTTAAGGTTAAAAAAACAACCTTTCTGAAACGCGTCGATTTTTACAAAGCTCATCGGTCTGAAAGCGAGGTGTGCTGTGATTGGCCAGCTATCCAGTGCGTTGTGATTGGCCGAATACCTCAAGCGTGTGAC